GCTCCTGTGCGAAATAGCGCAGAAGAGAACCAGGCCTTCTGAGCCTGTCTTATTTGTAAACTCAGAGTTAAAGAAAATGAAGTCTCTAGTCTCTGTGCCTCCCTTTCCTTTTCCTGAGCTGTGGTCTGAGTGTGCAGGCCCAGCAGCCAAGCTTGGTCCAGAGGGAACTAGAAGAGGGCTTTTTGCCAGGGATTTATTTTCTTGGACTATAGAGCAGAAGCAAGGCGGGGTGCTTTTCCTATCTGTTCCTCATCTGACTAAAAGTCTAAAAATGCTTTAGCAGCTAGATCTGGGACTGGCTCTTCCGGTGGGGGTGGGAACTGCCCTGCCCTGTTAAGGAAGCTCATGTTTTTGAGTTAGACAGCAGAGGGCATGGGTGCTTTTAGACAAAAGGAAACTGTCTGAGACCGAATGTCTGCCAGCCACTGGTTTGCTCCCTATTGAGTGAATGAGGGTGACTGAAACTGATTTCCATGGAGAAACGGCATGACTACATAGTGATTCCCTGTAGCCGAGTTTACTGTGCCCCTAGGGCAGATAGCAGGATGTTGCCGTCTGTGCTAAGGGTTCTTAAACAAGACACAAACCTCCCTTGCCCCACCCCTTTAGTTCATCCTCTTCTCAGCCTCCCCATCCTCCAGTTAGTACCAAGTTAGTACCAAGCAGCACCAAGTGGATATAATTGTTCTCCATTTTGTCTGGAAGTACAGGGGCAGCTGCTGCTTTACTAATTTTTTTTTTTTTAATTGTCACTGATGAAAGCCACTGAAAGACTTTTTTCCAGCCTCGGAAAAATTGGACCTTTAGAATCTGGAGTGAATGAGGTCAGTATCTTATGAAGCTGCAATACGCATGGCCTATCATTCACCTCCTGGTGTCTAGGGATGCAGCCTCTCTTCATCTATATATTGGAAATGATAGGTAGGCTGACTTTATATGCACTTTGTATCTCCTCTGCTGCCAGAGCTATATTTGTTCTAGGCTCAGGTAGGTGGTCCTCTTCAGCCCAGATGTTGGCTCAAGGCAGCCATCGTTTTTTAAACTCCACTCCCATATACTCCTGAGCCTCTGCTTTCTTTCCTCCCAAACCAGGTAAATTGTCTTGAGCCCCATCCTCACCTACCTGTTTTGGCAACCAGTGGCCTGGACCATGATGTGAAGATTTGGGCACCCACAGCTGAAGCTTCCACTGAGCTGACAGGGTTAAAGGATGTAAGTGACTGGCTGAAGGCCTCCATTTGTAGAAACCAATGCGTGTAACTGTTATCATTCTTCAATGTCATAAGAAGGAATAACTTGTTGCTCAGTTCTTTAAAGGCATTGATCTGACACCTCCTCTACTTTCCCCTCACTGCCTCTGTGGGGACAGTCCGGAGCCACAGAGCAGCTCTGAAGTGCTTCTAGTTGGTAGGTAGGAAGCATCTTTAGGAAAAAGCTGTTTTATGTTAAAGTGTCCAACCTTCTCACTGACTGACCTTGAGCATCCTTTCCTATCTAATAATCCAGCTCTACATTAGTTTAATGGTTTCTGAAGGAATGTTTTATTGGGATGAAAGACATAGTCTGCTTCTCTCCCCTGCCCCCCCAAACACACACAGTGCTGGGGATTGTACCCAGGACCTTGCACATGCCCTACTACCAAGCTACAATCTAGCGAGCTCTTGGTTTTCAGAGACAAGCTTTTAACGAGTAGCTCAGGCTGGCCCTGAATTTGTGATCCTCCTGTCTCCACCTTCAGTGCTGGGTTCCAGTCATATGCAGACAGCACCAGTCCTGTTGATGGAGCCGGGGTTCCGGTTAATTACTATCACTTCTCCTAACTCTTCTGGGTTCCAGGTGATTAAGAAGAACAAGCGAGAACGGGATGAAGATAGCTTGCATCACACTGACCTGTTTGATAGTCACATGCTTTGGTTCCTTATGCATCACCTGAGACAGAGACGCCATCATCGGGTAAGCTTCAGTTGGAAGTGAGTGCCCAAGGACTATGTGCCTTTAAAGAAGGCTAGAAAGTTTCACGGCACACTTCCTTACTACTTTAAAGAGGGATGGAGTAGTCTTGGCTGGGTGTCTTATCCACTGGCCTTTATTTATCCCTATTAGAGCAACTAGTATAAAGGAGGCCCTGTATGATTTTGTTCTCCATCACTATATATACAGTGGGTTATCTTTACGGTTTCAGTGGCAGGAGGGGCTAGGGAGGAGTAGAGAAGAAATAATTGCTCTGGATGACCTGTGTTAACTTTCAAGGTTTTTAAAAGGGGTTGAGAGCAGGGGTCAGCAAACAGATTTTTATTGGAAATGCAGCCACACTCGTTCCCTGTATTATCTGTGCTGCTTTCATGGTACAGAGGCAGAGTTAAACAGTTGTAACAGAGACCATATGCCCACAAATACTTACAGTCTGGCCTTTTAAGAAAAATTCTGAGCCAGGCACAGTAGTAAGCGCCTATAATTCTAGCTACTGGGGAGTAACAGGTCACCCTAGGTTATTTAATTTAAAAGAAGAAAGGGGGCGGGGGTTCTGCTGATCCCTGACCCAATATAGATCTAACGTCTTGTCCTTGATCCAGGGACGTTACTAACAAGGATTTCCCATCCTACAGCGTTGGCGAGAACCTGGGGTTGGGGCTACAGATGCGGACTCTGATGAGTCTCCCAGCTCCTCAGACACATCCGACGAGGAGGAGGGCCCTGACCGGGTGCAGTGCATGCCATCCTGAGCCCCCAAACTTAGGAGGGATGGGCTGGGGCTGCCAGCCCGATCCTGCCTGGGCAACTCTTTTGGTTCCAGGCCCTTACATTCATCAGAAATGCACTTTGGACTTTTTGTTTAAATAAAGATATCCGAGAAGGACAGACCACAGGAGATTGAACCAGCAGAGAGCCCCTAGGAGTGAGAGACAGCCAGTATGAGCTTCCATGGAAAGGTGCAAAGGACTCAGCAGAAGTGGGCCTCTCCCATTGTTAGGGGAGAGGAACAAAGCCTTTTGTTAACTGGCTTGGATAGGAAGTGGGGCCTATTTTTCTTTAACCTCCCTTGTTTCTTTTGTGGGGGTGGGGAAGGACTGGCTGTTCAGTACCGAGGGGCCAGAGAGGAGGGTAGGAATGCCACTCTCTCTGGTTTAGGTTTTTCACCTTTTCCCCCTTTGTTTTTTAAGAAGTCTGACAGTTCCATTGTTTTTTGCCCCTGAGCAACCACATCCCAAGACCCCGTTTTTTTTTTTTTCTGGGAATTCCTTCCGAGTCCCTAACTCTCCCAGTAGTTTTCTCTTCCCTTTCCACTGCACTTACTCTGTACTTACCACAGTGTTTTGCACTTGATTATGTAGCCTCCACTTTGTCCTCTTCATCCCATCCCCCTCCTAATGGGGGTCTGTGATGGAGGTCATGGAGAAGTGGGGGCAGGCCAAGAGATGGAAGAACAGGAAGAAGTTACCTCTTTGTTTTGTTTTTAATTGTTTGGTGGCAGCAGTTTCCCTGTCCCTATCACTGTTAGAGGCCTAATTTTATATCTATAAATATATTAAAAAGCAAGTTAAACTTGGGCGTATCAAGTTAAAATTATTGTCAAAAGTTTAAATACCTATATATTCTCTATGAACACAATGCAATAAAGGGACTTAAAGGAAGAGTGAGCGAGAGTGATGATACAGAGGTGACACGTGGGGTCAGCTGGCCGTTTATGTAGGACTGTCAGGGCCTGGGACTGACCTTTAGGTTTTACAAGGCTCAAAAATGGGAGGGTATTTAGCTGTGCCCTTCTGCCTTGGTGCAAAGGTTTGGAAAAACAAGAAATTCCTCTCCACTTGGCCTCAGGTCTCGTAATTCCCTTAAGTCTCATGGGGGAATCCCAGGATTGTTCCTCTCATTGGAGGCTGGCCTGTCTTTAAAACACGACTGAAGTGTGACTTGAGGGTGGGCACCACTGCTACAGACCTTACTCACCCTGGTTCTGTGTGTGACAGCAAGCACACTTGACCCTGGCCTTTGGCTGCTTGACTCTAAGCCATCCGACTCCACACCAGCTCCCTCCTGATGGAAGGATGAAGGGGAAACTTCCTAGGAATCGAGGGACAAGCCAGTAGCTGGGAGATTTGTTCTGGTGACTGGGGCTTAGACACCTGTCTTAAACATTGGTCACTGAATATGAAAGTCCCTGTTGAATTCTTGCCCTAAATGCTTTTGCTGCTATTCTTTTGCCCCTAGTTTTCACAAGACTCAATCAGGAATCCTGCATCCTGGGACGTTTCGACATGACCACACTGGGCCAGGAAGAGGGGGGAAAGAGCAGAGGGTGGTATTCCTACACACTCCTTCCTCCTGACCCCTTCCTAGCAGCTCAGACCAGATGCCAGCTACTGCACTTCCTTCCTGAGGCAGGGACTGTAGTAAGCAAGGACTCTATGCCCTCACTGCTAGCAGGGTATGAGGTGGGCTTAAACCATGCACTCTGGAATTTGTTGTATTTTTTTCTCAGTAAAGCTTTTCCCCCCGACTGTTGCTTTGTGTGGTATGTGGTCCATTTATTTGTCACAGTGTACTTTTGTTCCTTCCAGTATAAATGCTTGATTCTGCCAAAGTTCAGTCTGGGGTATCCCTGTTTCTAGTGCTTGAGCTACAGAATGTTGTAAGTGGGATAGGCCTGCTTATGTTAGTGGTACTTAGAGATGGGGTGGGAGGGCGTGCTATTTGGGGATGTTTTCCAGGCCCATGTTTCATACTAAAGTGAATGATAATAGGGAAAACATGGTTACGCACCCCCTCCCAGTCAGAGGTTCCCCAACTCTTTTTTTTTTTTTTTTTTTTTTTTTTTTTTTTGAGACAGGGTTTAGATGTGTAGCTTTGCTCCTTTCCTGGAACTCACTTTGTAGACCAGGCTGGCCTCGAACTCAGAGATCCACCTGCCTCTGCCTCCTGAGTGCTGGGATTAAAGGCGTGCGCCATCACCGCCCGGCTCCAACTCTTAATGACCCACAGAAATTCTAGAATCAGTCAGGTACAGTACAGTCAGTCACCTTTATTCCAGGGTTAGAACAAGGCCGTGCACACTGCAGACAGAGAGCACAGGCTAGGGGCAACCTCACGGCAGCAAGGGGGGGTAGCCAGGGTATCAGTCTATTAGGGCAGGTTAGTCTATTTAAAGTTTGTTTTTTGTTTTGTTTTGTTTTTTTGCCTTACAGAGAAACTGCTGAAAAGCACCCTCTCTTTCCTGTTTCTTCCATAAGGAAAGCTCCATCTCACTTTTGCTCTCATAGACCATCCCAGATGGAAGGATGGGTTTTGCTTATTTCCTTTCTCCCGGTTGTACAAGTACCTCTTTTCTTGAAGGAGAAGCCAGACAGGACTAGGGAGACTTAGGAAGGACCTTTAAGGCAAAACTGGAGTCTTCGAGGTGTGTGTATTAAGGCAGGTGTCTGCAGCAGTGGCCAGAGGGGATGGGCAGACTGGGCTGGGCTAGGAGCTGAGGGTGCTCTAGCCAGTCTGGCTTCTTCCCTCTTCCGACAGCCTGACCTCCTCCCCTCCCTGGGAAGCTTTGCTACCACATCCTGGAAGCTCCTACCTTCAACTTCCTCTACATAGTCTCTGAGCTTGCATGTAAAGTTAATGTTTGCTTTCTTTTCTGTTTGGACTATGTAACGATGTGACTGCCACTCCCTTCACTGTGGCATCCCTCCCACTCCTGCTCTGGCCTAGACAATAAGTTAATGCTCAAAACCACAAAAAAGGGCAGACATGGCAGTGCGGGTTTAATATACATATATGTAGAATATATATGTACACACAGTTAGCACGGTCAAGATGGGGAAGGGCATCTTGGGACAGGTAGGAGGCTGGGTTCACTCACTGTACTCTAGTGACTTGGCTTGGAGGCATCCACAAACCCAAATGAGAAAGGTTACCAAGTCCCTTCCTGGATTGAATTGGGGTGGTAATCAGTGTCAGTGCAGAGGAAACCACTGTAATTAACTTTCTTGCTTGGGGAATTCTAAACTGGAGAGTGTGAAGGTTGCTTTATTGGGACCCTGTAGGTTTGGGCAGGTTGAGGTTAAAACCTACAGATCTCATTCCCCAACCTCCCTAGGCTCAGGGTCAGTATATTCAACAGTCTGTGTTCAGGAATGAAATAGAAAGTGGGCCTGTCTCTGTCTGCATCCCCATCTCAGGCTCAGTAGTGCATGGGTCCCAGCATAGTCTCTCCAGAGGAGAAGTTGAGGGTATCAAATGCTGGCTTCTCCATGGGGTTTGATTTTGGGGGCCAGGAAAGGATCTAGTGGTCTTCTCATTAAGATTTCTGGCTCATATCTATCCCAGGCCTGTGACAAGGGCGTAAAAGAGGGCCTGCTGGCACTCAGAACTTCAGCCTAAGGAATGGCCGGAAACTGGGTTCTAGCCAGTCCAGCACAGATTTACAAACACTGAATTCTGGCTCTTCTTTCCCCTTCCAGGTGGAGGTTGAGTAGCTCGTATCTTCCTTCCCCATTGGTTTTCTTTCGCTCTAACCATCTCTCCCATACCTCATCTTCACCTTAGCTCCTCAGTGTAGGACAATGCAGGTCCTTCTGCTTCCGTACTTTAAAAGATGTGGGGAAGAGTGGAGGAAAGGGGAGGAGGAGGAATGTGCCAATTTCCATTTACATAGAAATAGCTTCCACCTCCCCTATAGTGGGGAAATTAAGCTCCCCCTCCCCTGACTCCAGTCCCCTCATGAGGAGGAGGAACTAGATGAGCTAGACAGACAGACAGCCAGAGCGTGTGAACACGCACACACACGCGCATAGTAAGGGGGTTAGGACCAAGTTAGTAAGTGGGTACGGAGCAGGGGGGTTGCCCTAGCCCCTCCCATTGAGGACAGGGAAGGGAGTGGTCTGATGAAGATCCAACCTTCCTCCTCTTCCTCCCCCTTGCTCAGGCCTTCTTTGGTGGGGGAGCCAATTTGATGATTTCTTCCTCAGAGGGCTGCCGGATAATGTCTGGAAAAGCAAAGACGGGGTGTGTCCAGGGATGGAAGTTGCCAGGCAGGCCCATTGAGCATCAATCTCCACTCCCCAAATTCAGGATGATTCTCCACCCTAAGAATATAGTCAGAGGGGAAAAGGAGAAGAGTAGCTATGCCAGAGGCATGGTCTGTTACCTTTGTACTTCTTGGCACTGGGGATACGGGTTAGCTTGGTATCCAGCTCATCCTCCTCCGAGATCTTCAGCACACGGGTTCTGTAGTCGACCACCATAGTGAGTAGATCAGGACGGCGGGATATCTCAAAGATGTGCTCAATGTAGGATAGGTTGTCTGGAGGAAGGCAGCTTGAGTCAGAGCCAGGCTACAGCGGTCAACTCTACCCTGTCAACCTGGTATTCCTGAACCAACACTGAGTTGCTTACGCTGGTTACTGGTTGGTTACAGTGAAAGAAGGGGCTACCAAGCCAGCAGAAGAAAGTTTGAGGCAGCCCAGCAGTTCCGAGGGCTGATCCGAGGAAGGACGGGCCAGGGAAATCTTTCTAGGGCATAAGTGGAAATAAAGACTGGGCTAGATATCAAGTCCATCCTTAGGGGAAGGGGCAATAGAAAAGCTGCTTTCCAATGACCTCATACCTGTCCTGTCCTTTTGCTGCTTGCCTTCCAAACGAGTGTCAGGGAGAATTCCCAGACACCACGTGTGGAAACGGGGATGAGATGTAGAGCCAATCAGAGAGGCTCTGAGCGCAGTAAGAGAAGTGACGGACAGGGTGGTTTGAGAAGACTAGACCCACCCGTCATCGGCCTCCTGCCCAGACTGGCAGTAGTCTGCATTGTGCTAGGTCCTCCTGCAGTTTTCCTCCCTGCTACCTAAGGACCACAGCCAGAATAGTCCAGACAAAGGGCTCTGAGGTCACTTCACTCCGAAACACGTGTAACTCAAGATTTACATTCTCAGCTACCTCTAATCAGACCCAGTCTTTAGTCCAGCCAAGCTGCACTGCCACCCTTTCTTTAACGGGTTCTCTGGATTCTACCTTAGGAATCCTACTTTCCTTTGGGGGCAGTCTATGATCATCGTGTGTGAGTGTGGGTATGAGTGTGGAGGTCAGCGGACGACTTTGAGGAGTTGGTTCCCCTCTTTCACTGTGAGCCCTGGGCCCTCGGTGGGCATGCATAGCAAGTACTTTTACCTACTACTCTGCCAGCCCCTGGGACTGTCCTGCACACCATTTCACCCTGCAAGCCCCAGCTGCATGTGACTGCGCTAAGCCAGTGTCCCCCCCAGTTTTAAAAAGCAGTAGTCTAAAAGTAGGTAAGAAAACATGGTTTTAAGTTTTACCACTTGAAATTGTTTTCATGTGCTGTTATATATGTAGTGATAGCACGGAAGTATTGAAAAACATTTTGTACTAATAAGGGCCATAAATGAAGCATGTCTAACAATTACTGCCCTGGAACCCTGTAGTCTCTTAGCGCATATCATTTACCCTGCCCCATCACAGGGGTTCACTTTGTGTAAGAGGCTGTGTTCGTTTCTATTTGCTGAATGAACAGGGAGCCCCCTCACAACCTTTGTCCAGCTTGTTGTGGCTTTCCAGGAAGCTAAACCAGGCACTGCCTGTAGTGATCTCCTCACTCTTCTCGCTGGGGATGTCCTCCTTGCAGGCTGACTTGAGCTGTTCCAGATCTTCGAGGGTGATGTTGTTGGTCAGGTCCTGAAGGAGAGTCCCGTACTCTGCCATGACTGGAGGTCAGGGTAATAAAGGGAGAGGAAGCTGAGCTTAGTGTATGGGATCTGGTTCACTTACTGCCAGTCCTTATCTGCGCCTTACCCCCACCCTCAACACGCACACATGAGCGCTCACTTTGTCCCGCCAGGATGGTATGTACCTGAAATGTGGAGGTTTAGGAGAGAGAGCAAGTCTGGAAGGAGAAAAGGGAAAACCTCTGACACACAAGAAGTAACTTAGGAGAGCTAGGAGCCTAGAGTGGCAAGTCATACCCCCCCCCCAATACACACACAATCTTTTTCTTCTTTTTCCCTCCCTTAACAGTATCCCTGGCAACAGCTCCCCTGACTGAGGAGGCGGTTACCATGGCAACATTCTCCAGACTTTCTTGCAGTCTCCAGGTCCCCCCTCCCCAATTGCCCCACCCACCTCCAACTCCTCCCCCTGTCACAGGCTTGCCTAGAAGTGAGAGGCTAAAAAGGTCTGGTGGAAGCCCCTGCATTCTATCTTCCATTCTTCCCCAGAAGCAAAGGGGTCCCTCATTTCGTCTTCCCACCACCCCACTAATGACTCATTTTGGATGGATGCCTAGTTACTTGGCCTGATGGATCCCTGTCGCGCCCCCCCCCCCCCCACTTACCCCTGCATTAGAGTTTTAGGTCTTAGGGTAGCAGAAGCAGTGGGCCACCCCTGCTTTGTGGAGCCCATTTTTTCCCTTGATAGTTTACTAGGCCCCAACTCGGCCCTCTCTCCTAGCCTTTGTGCTGTGCCTGCAGCCCCCGCGCCCAAGAATACCAAGCGGCTGGCTCTGGCCCCCTGCCCAGTTCCCAGGCAGGCTGGGTGATAGGGGGAGGGGAGTCTAGATGTAGCTTTCAGAAATCTGGCAGGAAGGGGGCTGCTAACCTTTTATCAACCTCCTCTGATACTACTTGCAACCTGGCTTCCCACAGGCAAGGCTAGACTTTACGTAGGCCTTCATACCATGCCTCTCATGATCCTTAGGTCAGGAAGAGAATTCAAGGACACTCTTCACTAAAATAGGTACTATAGCTAAAATAGAAAGGTCAGACCTGAGGCTGGGGGGATGGCTTAGTGGTTAAGGACACTGGCTGCTCTTCTAGAGGACCTAGGTTCAATTCCCAGCACCCACAATGTGACTCTTAACTGTAACTCCTGTTCCAGGGGATCCAACACCCTCACACAGACATAGATACAAGCAAAACACCAATGCACATTTTTTTTAAAAAAAGGCAGACCTTAGTATGAACTTTGTGGATTTGATAAAATGTAAAACTCCAGTGGTAAGCTAAACTCAGTGACCTAACTGAGCATAGTGACCTATGCCTGTAGTTCCTACATTCAGGAGTCTAAGGCCGGAGAATTCCAAGTTTAAGGTTAGCCTGGACTAGATAGCAAAACCTTGTTTCAAATAAGGAACTGTTTTCTGCAGTGAGTACATATTTTTATATTCAGAAAATTTAAGCATTAAAAAAGGAACTACATCATAAACATTCTGTGGTTAGACCAAAAGGTGGGCAAGAAACTGAATGGCCTTGGACCTGACCAAAGCTGCTCATGCATCATCCAATACTGAGCTGGAGCTGGCAGATCAAAGGGGCAGGCTGACAAACCTGTTTCCCTTGTTTCTAATCTCTCCTGTAGGGGAACTGAGGCAGAGCCCTGGGCATTGCGTAAGTGTGGGCCCAGACGCCCCTATCCCCATCCCCCTTCTTTGACCAGAAGAAACAAATCTCCCTCCGTGGCGGGCACTGTGACACAAACAAAAGCCAGACAGCAGGGCCAGCACGACCCCTGGAAGAATTGGTCAGAAACCTTTTTACTTGCACACCCAGGTGCCACCAGACAGAAGGGCCCAGCGGTGGTCCTACCAGGCGGGGCCAGGGACAATGCTCTCTGACTGTCAGCACCAGGAACCATCTCTGCCTTGAAATCTAGGTCACACAGCAGCAAGCTGGAGCCCAGCCCCGCCTCTACTGATAATCCTAGGGCAGAAAAGGGGGCTGGGGGAGGGGCTGGAGGGGGCTGGAAGAGCGGCATAGGATGGAGACAGACCCTGCCCCAAATGAGGCACTAGGACCAACGCCTCACTGGAAAAGGGGTCAGACTGCCTTGATTTCACAGGGAAGAAGAGTTTGTAAACATGAGAGCTGTTGTGGGAGGAAAGTGTGTAGCGCTGTGTGTGAATCTCTCAGGAGGAGTTAAGATTCAGGGCTCTGGATCTAAAACACAGATCTACTGGGGAGGTAGGCGGGAAGGGATTAATGTGTGTAACACACACACCCACAAAGGTTGGGGGCAGCGGGTAGGAGCTTTCCAAGAGTAAAACATACAAGGAGGCCCTTAAGAGGAATGTGGGTAGTTATATATAAAGTGGCTAGGGAGAGATAGCGTGTACATGTGTATATGTACACACTGAGTTTTCCCGGGTGAGAACAGGTATGTGGAAGATACAGTAGGTGTGTTTGGATGTTCTGGTAATGAAGGTATGTTCAGCACTAGCTGTGAGCTTACGTGAGATGTATGCTTGTGTTTGAACCAGTTGAGAGTATGCAGGAAAATGTAAGTACAGACTCACGTCCAGAGGGGTGAGGGGAACCCACAATATGACCGAAGAGAGCTAGCCTTGGGAAAGGCTGCACATGAGGAATGCGGCGTGTATGGCTGGGGGGGGGGGGGTTTAAGCACGGAGTCCACAAGGCTGAAGCCTCCACTCAGCTGTTACCATAGCAACCTCAATTCAGGGCAAAACCACCACCCCACCACCCCCAGTCCTCAGGACAATGACAGCACCGATGGGAAGAGCATGGAGCGGGACAGAAAAGACAGGAATAGGGGCTCTGGAGGGGGAGTGAAGGAGAAGCTGAAGTCACCACTCGCCAGGTGGGGCAGGAGCAAGGGCAGAGCAGTTAGGGGACATTTTTTAGGGCAGAGCTAGGCGGGATCTCCGCTACATGACTTTCAGGTTTCACTAATCAGCTGTTATCCCTGGCTAGCCGGTCTGGTTACGGCGGGGCTTGGCCTTGTTCATCCTCACCAAAGATTTAGAATTTCTAAGGGCCTATCGAGAAGTCTGCCTTCCTGGCTCTGAAAAGTTCTCATCTCTGCGGCAGCACAGAGAGCTCAGGAACACCACCCGGTGGAGGCCATTCTTGGGACAGGATACCAGGGCAGGAACTGGAGCCGAGGCTGCCAGGAAGTCAGTTCCCTTCCCTCCCATCTCATTCTGTATTCTGCTCACTGCTTCCTCACACCTTCCTTCCTTCCTTCCTCCCTCCCTACCTCTCCTAAGCTGGCTCCAGGCTTAGTCTTGACCACTGAGGATGCTGGGGAAGGAGGAGCCTTTTAGGTAAGAACTGGGGAGATGGCACTGGACAAGAAGCAAGCCACGAGGCTGCCCAGAGACGCCCGGCACAGGATAAGCACCTGTGGTAGAGGCGGCAGCACCAAAACAATTGGAGACTTTCGACACAGATTTGTGGTAGATTATCCCTGTCCCCAGCATTGGGTGCCACGTAGGAAACTTAAAAAGGAAGCTTGTGGATTAGATTTTACCCCTCCCTCCACATCTGTTACAGCTGTTGGAGGCCGAGGAGGGAAGGGGCCATTCTACATAGATGCAAGGACTGGAAGGTCCCTCTACTGGGCAGGAGGGATTCCCAGGCACTCAAGTCAGTCCTGCCTGAAGCTGGGAGCTGAGGAAGTAGTCAGCGGAAACAGGTGGAAAGGGGGACCCGGGGTTGTAGCCATTGTAATTTAAGTGAGGTCGGGGCCCCACATCCAAGCAGAACAGCAGTGTCTTTCTTTCAGTATCTTAACTGACTTCTCCCCTAACCTTTTGGTCCAGCTTTGGAGATCTCACCACACACTCTTCTTTCATCCTGTAACAAAGAGGGTTTTACAGTTCCAAGGTCAGCCTGGGAGGAGGACTCCAAAATGTACATCTAAGAAGAAAAACAGGTTGCCTCTGGGACTGGAAAGGGCCATGCCCAAGATGGAGGAAGCCACAGATAGCTGGCCCTGGATTGAGCAGGACTGTGGGCAGGGCATGGGCCCTGGGCATCTCCCTAGACTAGCTGTCCTTCCCAGCTTTGTCTCTTCCCCATCCATCTGCTTCCTCCTTAGTCATTTTCAGTTTCTTTTTCTACCCCCTTTCAGCTCCCTTCTTTAACCCCACCTTCAGCTTGCTAGGCTACATTCCCACCCCCTTTTACTTTCCCAGTGGGCATTCATGCCTTCCAGCTCTTCCTGTTCACTCATCGCATGTGCTGGTAGCCATGGCTACCCTTGAACTCCGTGAGACCCAGGTGTCCCCACCTAAATACCCAGAGCTACCATAAGGAAGGGATGAGCTTCCCTCCAGAATAAGAAAAAGTTTGACGGGAAGGAATAGATACACGGTTGGTTACTGAATATATAATGGCTGGCTCCTGACTAGCTGGTGAAGACGGCTATCTTGACATTGTACACGAAGATCTGTGTGTGAGGTATAGTGTGAGTCTGTGACCTTCTGTATGAAGTACATGGCACCTGCTGAGCACAGGTGTCATACATAGTAGGCAGCCCGAGAAGCTGGCAGCCCAAGGCATGCTGGCAGTTCCCCCACTGGAGTATTTAACCGCAAAGGGAAGAGCAATTAACACTAATCGCTCATACAGCCTGGGGGCCAGACACATAACCTAGAGAAACAGGACACACATGTTCACATGTTCCTTCTAACCCTCTGCCTTCTTCACCCTCCCCAAGTTCTGATCCTCTTTAACCTACACCCCAGCATTCTTCTGGTTCCTCTGGCCACCCCTTTCTCTCCGTGGTTCCCTCTATGGATCTCTGTCCTTTCTCCATGTCTGTCTTCTCACACATCCCCCCCCCCCCCAACTTGGGTTCCATCCTTGGCTGACTCATTTTTTTTCACCCTCTCCTGATTCTACTCCCTCCTCCATCCTTTGGCCACATTGATGCCTAGAATCTAGCCACTCCCAGGTACCCCTGCTCTAAACGTGCAGTCAGCAAGAAAGGTCACAAGAAGCCCCTCACCCAGGTAAGAACATAGGCTCACCAGTCCTTGAGGTATTGTCTACTAAAGCTGTCCATAAAATCTGGGTGTGTTTGTGGTCAATGGCCCTTCCATCCACTACTCAACATTCCTGTTGAGGATGTCTTAGAGCCTCCGGTCAAGGAGACTCCACATGGGAGGCAGTGGGTTGTGGTGGGTGGGTGGGTGGGTGGATGCGTAGTGCAGGGATGTTGTGATTTGGTTTGTATGCGAGGATGTGTGTAAGTCACATGGGTGTGTGTCACTGTGTGGTTAGCTTTTTTTCTTAATCGTGTTTGTGTCCCTGTCGGTTTTGACATGATTTTTTTTTTTTAATTAATTAGGGTCTTTACGTAGGCTACATCATTCCTCTGCACCCCCAGCTCCTTCCTCCTTTCCTCCGGGCAAGCTTCCACCAATCCCACTCTCCCCAGACGCAGTAGGATGGGTGTGAGAGCACACGTACCAGCTGCCCGAGGAACTGAGGCAGGGCTGAGCCGAGCCGGAGACCGCCTGCAGAGGCGAGTCCGAAGCTAGAGCGAGGAGGGAGGGGCGGGAGCTGGCCTGGCCCGGCCGGCTGGGCGGGAAGCAGGCTACATCCTAATCCCCAGGCCCCATCGGACTCCCAAACTGCTGTTGAGCACAGAATGGGCGGACGAAGCCACACAGCCTGCAGCACAATCCAGACTCTGGATGCACTGACATGAACCCCACGAGGCCTGACGCCGTGGACCTGTCTGGATCCTCAAGCTCCCCTATTTGCTCCCCGGGTTCAGGATCGTGACCTCTTCAAACCCAGACCCCCAATCTACCCCCTCCCCACGACACATCTCCCCTGTGCCCCCTCTCACCGCCTCCGGAGCTGAGAGCTCAGGGTGCGGGCACTCCTGGGTCCCCGGTTCCTAAGCAGCGTCTGGAGCCTGCTCCTTGGCTCCTGCCGCCGCTGCCGCCGCTCCTGCCGCCGCCGCCTCTTCCGCCCGTGGAGCAGAGCCTGAGCCCAGCACCGCCTCACCCCACCCGACTGGCCGGTGATGTCAGAGCCGGGGAGGGGCGGGGGGCGGGGAGCGGCGAGAGAAGGGGGAGGGGAGGCAGGAGGGGACAGGGACTGTGGACCGCCGTTCTGGAAGACTCCTAGGATGCGGGCAGTACTGGGCCAGAGTGTGAACTCTGCCTTTCACTTAAACTGTGGAACAATCCTCAGATTATTTTTTCCCAGTGGGTCGCTCTTCTGCCCCCTGGCCTTTGGATGATCACGGTGGCCAGGACCCCTGGAAGGCGGAAGCAGTTTGGATTGGGGGATTTGGAAAGTCTGTGGCCTCTAGGTTCCCTTGGCTACTTTGCTTTGGTGTGTGGGAAAACCTCCCTCCTAGCCTTATAGGTCAGAGGATCAGTAGAAAATGATCAAATTTATCCACGCTAGGAATAGAATGAGGATGGGGGGGGGGGGCAAGGAGCAACAGGGTAATAATCTCTTTTACTTGGCCTGGAGCCATGATCTCTTCTGGATAATAGCAGCTGGACCTCTGTGCTCCTGCTGCCTTTCCCAAATATACCCCCACATACTCACTCTCTACGCAGACACACACACACACACACACACACACACACACACACACACACTATGATGTAATTTTATTTTCTGGGGAAAAAAGCCATGAGCTCAGCATGCAAATATAGACAACTAACAAAGCCACACTTAGCTGTCTCCTCGCTCCGTCCCTCTGCCTAGGCCCAGTGTGATAATTCTCACTTCCCCTCCACCTTGGGGGACTTTCCTCCCCCAGATTCTCAGCCAGACTGAAAGAGGGAAGGAGGAATTGGAGAAGCATCTGATTGTCGCCCCATCTGAAGCATAAGGGATCTCAGCTCAACTCTGGAAGTGTCTGGTCTTGCAAAGTATGAACATCTAGTGTTTGCATGCCACTAGAACGCCCCATCTTGCCTCAGTTCCAGCTTGGCAGAGACCCTTCCAGAAGCCTCAGTGAGTCCTTCCTTTCTTGGGAGCCACGATTCTGGGAGAAGCAGGTCATGTTCCTGCCCCCTTAAGTCTCCACAATGCTTTGCCCTTCTCCCCCAGCGTGACTGGCCGTTGCTCCTCTGAAGATAACATACCCTCAGAATTTGTCTTTGTTTCTAATTCTCCCTGTGTTGTAGGACCAAAATCTATCTTGTTGACCCATCTTTGACACTCAGAGGAACTGTACAACATGTCATATTTAAATGAAGTGAATCAGGCAGGCAATAAGACACAGAGAATGTGAATGTCATGCTTACTGTTTCCTTAGACATTAAGTCCATAAAGTTCAGTGTCCTCTCCAGCCAGACGAGGATGTTAGAGCCACTAAAGGGTTCTTCTGAGAATCAGAAATATTGTCTTTAGGGACTGGTGCCAGATAGGTGCTTAAAAAGTTGTTTAGTCTGGTATCTTTCATTGACCTATACTAAACAAACCCCATAATATTTTTATGATGTAACCTAACACCCCATTACTTATTAGTTATCCATTAGGTGTGAGCGGGTGATTGACTGTTTGGTTTCTGTTCTGTATGCTTCTGCCGTTTCCTCTAAGAGCACTGCCTGCATTTGTCTGTGGAGAGTGAAAACTTCTCTAACCTCAGGGCTCATTTTTCCATACTTAGACATCTACTAACATTCCGCTGGCTTCACAAAAACTAGTGCAACGCATAATAGGGTGGTACACGCCTGTCACGTCAAGATTCAGAGTGTTGAGGCAGGAAGGCTCCCATTTTGGGCTACATAGTGATACCCTATTTAAAAACAACCACAACGTCTCTTCATTTAGAAACCTCTTCAGCAGTTTGGTTCTTCATGCTCCCAACTTGTCTGTGCTTACTCCCACCTGAACCTATCCTGTTTGGGGTGGGGGGTGGTCTCTTTTCACAAAACTCCACCAGGTCTAAATCTGATGGATGCTCTTTGTTCAAAAGTCAAAGCCTCCTCATTATCATGACCACCACATGGGTCCAGATTCTCCCCAACTCACTGATTATACAGTTTCTGATTAGGGGTGGGGCTCCTTGCTTCTGCCTTTGCATCATCTCCCCTCCCCGAGTCTATCTTGGTTCTTGCTACTAGTTGAAATTTTGCCCTTCTACCCAAGTTCATAGGATTTAGTTCAAACGCTTGTACAAACCTAACCCATCATGCTTACCCAACCCATGGCCACAACTTGAATTTCTCTTCACTTTTCTTTTTTTTTTTGTTGTTGTTGTTTTTCGAGACAGGGTTTCTCTGTGTAGCTTTGTGCCTTTCCTGGAACTCACTTGGTAGTTCAGGCTGGCCTCGAACTCACAGAGATCCGCCTGGCTCTGCCTCCCGAGTGCTGGGATTAAAGGCGTGCGCCACCACCGCCCGGCTTTCTCTTCACTTTTCTGACCTCCGGTGCTGCCAAAATGACAGACACACCCTGCTAATGCTTTCGTTTTTTTTCCCCATCGACCGGAATGTCCCGGTCCCAACTCCTTCCCTCCAGTCAAACCCCACTCTTCAGCTGAAGGTCTTGACAGGGTTGCTTCTCTGTGGGAGTCACCGAGCCCATCCCCCTCTCCTACCTTGCTGTTTCCTTCTTTCTCTAAAAACACATGGGGACAATTCTTTATGCACGAGGCCCTATAGAAATGAAGAAGAGAAAGTCTGGGTTCCCTGCCTTCAAGACTCAACTTAGTGGCTGTGTAACTGAAGACCAGTAACCAAGGGTATTGGGTACAAGAATGGAGGTGTACACAGAAAGTGCATCAGGGACCATGGAAGGAGATGGCTGGACCACCAAAGGTCTGGAGAGACCCTTGCTAAGGAAGACAATGGACTCAGTCTTGATGTTCAAATAAAGAGCTTCTGGGAGGGCACTGTCCAGCAGCAGCATAATGAATTACATATTGCTATGTTATTCTTTAGTTGTTTAGGGTGCTTGTCTTGACTTTTCAGCAAGGCCAGTCAGCTCAAGAGCAGGGACAGGCCTGGCACTGTCTGTTCCTCCAGAGCCCAACAGCAGCACTGGACAAACACCATGTGTTCAGAATAGGCTCGTTGACCGGAGGCAGATAAATATCCAGCCTTCCCTGGAATAACTGCCCGGAGAGAGCCCCCACCCCTGCTGATCAGCCCCCTAGCTCACTCCTAACAAGGAACTCACAGTTAAATCTCCCATCCAACGGTCACCTCCCTCCTGCCATGAGGGTGAGACTCCCAACAACAGACGCTTGCTCATTCTGCCCCAGATCTCTTTATTAAGGCCTTGTGTTTGACCCAAATACATTAACAAAAGATAGGTGAGATACATCCTTAAACATAGTACCTCCTTCCTCCTGGCCAGGGTCAGGACAGTCAGAAAGGTTGAAGATTTGAAAAGTGGGAGACTGTGTTGATGGGAGGGACAGAGAAGAGAGGGTAAGAGAATCGGAAAGTATGGGGAGTAATAGAGAAACAGATACAGAGGAGGTATAGGATAAGAAGTGAGAAAGATGAAAGCTGGTATCTCAGGAAAAGCTGCTCCTTTTCTTGTTAGCGAGGGACACCAGGACCTCAAGCACCCTGTATATAGACCACAGTTGGCCCTATAGTAGAGAATGACCTAGTGTCCCAAGGAGCTCAGGGAAGTGCGTGGACGGTAGGAAGGTACATGTAAAGAGCAAGTGGGGCTGGTAGGTGGTTGCCACAGCAACTAATCATCGTCATCGTCATCATCATCATCGTCGTCGTCGTCGTCGTCATCATCATCATCCTCTGTGTTGATTTCACCCTCCAGCACGTCTTCCAGCCAGTCCTCCAGCTCCTCAGCAGAAGGCAGGTCCTCCTCATTGTCCATCTCCATCCATATGCTGTCCGCCTAGGTGGTGGCACAGGTGTGGAATGGAAGCTCAATTTAATACAGCTCTGGACCTGTCCTCCCACCCGCTGTACATCCGCTGTACATCCCTCCCTTGCCTCGTTCAGTGGCCAGAGGAACTCTCCTGGTGAGGATCGGAGTTAGAATGGTGATGGATAGGAGCGGAAAGACAGGGTAAGCTGGCTAGAGGCCTCCCTTCAGTCCGCCTCCTTTACAGCTGCCGTCCCGAGCTGCTGCAAGCATACATCCCCATCACGTCCGTGATGTGAAAACATGATGGCTACTCACGGCCGGCAGAATCAAGCCAGATGCCAACACCCTGGGATTTTCATAAAATGACTTTTCTAGTAATAGCTTCAGTGATCTTAAACTCTAAAACTCAAACCTGTTACTCACTCTTTTTGCCGTCTTTTTGTTGGTAGTAGTGTTATTTATTTATTTTTTTTTACTTTTTTTTTATGATAACGGTATGCTTTTGATGGCGCACACCTTTAATCCCAGCACTTGGGAGGTAGAGGCAGGTCGATCTCTGAGTTTAAGACAAACCTGGTCAGGACAGCCAGGGCTATATATTAAAAACAAAAAACAAAAAACAAAAAACGAACTTTCCCCTGCCTCACTTGAGATGGCTTGAGATGAGTTCCCTGTCATTACTTGTAACAGATAAAACTTGCTTTTACATTCCGAAAAAAAAAAAAAAAACACAGAAAACAAACAAACAAATCTGTCTCAACTACCCCCCCCCCAAAAAAAAAAAAGTGTACTTGCTGTATAGCCTTTGCTGGCCGGCCCCATAGTTTGCTGTTAACCCAGGCTGGCTTTGAACTCACTGAAGTAAGTACTCCAGCCTTTGCCTCTGCAGTGCTTAGATTACAGGCATGTGCCACCATTGCCTGACTTTGCTTTTGTCCTTGGAGCACTCTCTACTCTCAGTTTGGAGACTTGCATTTGCCCCTTATTGAAATCTTGTACACTACACGATCTCCATTGTAATGCTACTTTCTCTTCAACTCAACTCCGGGTCTCTCAAGCAGAAGTCACAGCCTTGCTAGCATTTTATTTATATTATAAAATTTTCCAGAGCTGGCCTCACGATTAATGGGATAATATGCCCATTCCAGTAGACTGAGGATACCATGAAAGC